GGGTTATGCACATATGCATATAACTTCTTCTCTTCCCGTCCTCCACCTCTCTTTCCTCTGAAATATGATCATCTGTTGCATGCATCAATGTCTCTGGATCTATTTAGTTCATCAGATTCTTTTGTTCATTAGCTTCTTATAAAAGAAGACCCTTCAACATTTCCTGTAGTGCTGGTTGGTGGTGATAAACTCTTTTAGCTTTCCCTTGTCTGAGAATTACTTTATCTGACCTTCAGTTCTAAATGATATCTTTGCTGGGTAGAGTAATCTTGGTTGTAGTTCCATGTTTTTCGTCACTTTGAATATTTCTTGCCACTCCCTTCTGGCCTGCAAAGTTTCTGTTGAGAAATCAGCTGACAGTCTTATGGGGGCTCCCTTGTCGGTAACTAATTGCTTTTCTCTTGCTGCTTTTAAGATTCTTTGTCTGTAACCTTTGGCATTTTAATTATGATGTGTCTTGCTGTGGGCCTCTTTGGGTTCCTCTTGTTTGGGACTCTCTGTGCTTCCTGGACTTCTAAGTCTATTTCCTTCCCCAGGTAGAGGAAGTTTTCTGTAATTATTTTTTCAAATAGGTTTTCAATTTCTTGCTCTCTTTATTTTCCTTCTGGCATCCCAACAATAGGAATGTCAGACCTCCTGAAGTTGTCCCAGAGGCTCCTTATACTATCTTCATATTTCTGGATTTTTTCTTTTTGCTCTTCTGGTCGGGTGTTTTTTTTTCTTCGTGTTTCAAATTGCTGATTTGATTCTCAGTGTCCTCTACTCTACTGTTGATTCCCTGTAAATTATTCTTCATTTCAGTTCATGTAGCCTTCATTTCAAATTGGTACTTTATTATGTCATCGATTTTCTCAGTTATTTTTGTAAAACTCTTACTAATATGGTTGAGCATCCTTATAAACAAGTTCTCAACTCTGTTTCTGTTAGCCTGCTTGGATCTATTTCATTTAGTTTCTCTTCTATAGATTTCTTCTGTTCTTTCCTTCATGACATATTTCTTTGCCTCCACATTTTGGCTGCTTC